ACTCACCATTTGTGCGTATGAGCAATAAAATTTTTCCATCTAATCTGTATGTTTTGTATCAAATGCTATGTTACATTTTTTTAAAAAATAAATCATCTAGTTAATGGAAAATGGTTAAAAAGAAGCAAATAACCCACCATTCTAATTATTGTATCCCACTACCTTACTAAATGTATCTATGCTATATGGCATACACATAACACAGAACTCATCTGGATAAAATAGAAATCACCAATTTTCCTCTTGGAGTTAAATTAGCATCTGGATTTCAGCATAAATAAAAATTTAAATTGGTGCTATGAATTCTCTTATTTCTAAAAAAGAACTACAGCAGGAAAATGAGAATCAATGTAAATAATGAAGCATTTCATGAATGGCAGCTTTAGGAAATCCCAAAAGGGTTATATTTGTGACCAAGTTATATTCTTAATATTATTCATAATTTCATAATTTCTAACATTCTTTGAGTATTTATTAGGATTCTAAATCCTTTATGTCTGTCATATTTATTACATTTAATTCATTTCATTTAACAATTCTCAACTAGGGGCAATTTTTAGCCACTCCCTCAGGATACTGGACAATCTCTATGGAGAGTATTGGTTGTCCCACATTGGGGAGAAAGTGCTGAACGTTCTGCAATGCATGACAGACCTTCTCTGTCTCAAAGAATTATTTAATCCTAAAAGTAAACAGAATCAGGATAGAAAGAAATTCATTGAATGATTCTATTTAGTGGATATCATTAACATTATCTTCAAAAAAGGGTAACTGACTCACAGAAAGATTGAGTTTCTTATCTAAGATCATAGACCTAAATAAGTAGTGGTAAAAACAAGGTTTTTATTGCCTTTTATTTTTAAAACCCAAGCTCTTTCCACATCCTTTACTACTGTCTCCAGAGAGTTTGGTGAACATGAGCAGTTTCTGAGTTTTGGGGGTGGGGATACTGCTTTATTCTGTGTATCTGCCCCAGTGTCAGGGTCTCACTTGCTATAGCAACTGTTCATCACTTGAATATCTTCAAATTCCTCCTTCAGGAAGACATGTCAACTATTAAGTCAGTAACCCAAAGAGAAGATCATTGCTTGATTATGTATACTGCATTGCTAAACAAGGGGTGAGACAAAGGAAAGGTAGGAGACACTATTTCTGCCTTCAAGAAGGTTGTAGGGAAGAAGAGTTATATATGTATGTAAATAGAAATCTATGTGCATATGTGTTTGTAAACAGAATGGTCAGGCCAAACATAATGTTGCAAGCAATGAAAAGTAAACAATAAACTGTCCTAATCATATATGAGAATAGTTTTTTCTGGTCCTGAAAGAGCACAACATTTTCAACACTATGATGTAGTTGCATCCTGGGTTACCATGTGACACCCTGTGGAAGAGGCATACCTGCTCCTACCTTTCTAGCTTAGATAAATGTATAAGCACAAGCAGGTTGGGCATGTGAAAATTGATCAGGCCTTGCATTCTGTGTTTCACTGAATTTTTATTACCTATGAGATGATTTTCCATTCTCCTCTTCCCTAGATTTTAGAGCACTCCTGATTATTACCTACTTAACACTAATAAAACTAACTCAGGAAAGAATCTGATGAAAATACTCAAATTAAGTTGAATATGATGGGTAAATATTCATCTTATGGCAGGATGCATGAAGTAAAATTAGAATGTCTTCTTTTATCTCATATATTGATGTTATTTGGACACATTGCTGAATTAATAGTAGGTACTAAAAATGTTAGCTTCTTTTTTTCCTCCTCCTTTTCTTTCTCCTTTTACTTTTTTCCCCTCCTTTTCTCAATTTCCTCTTTTCTTCCCTTCTGTCTTCTTCTTTTTTTTTTTACACCTTCTTTCTTTCTTATTTATTTTTAATATATCTTTAAAATAATGTCACATATATGACCAATCACTCTTCTGTAACTAATGTGAGTTCTACCTAAAACATTAAGACGTTCTGTAGGATAAGAATATATAGTTCTTAAATCCTTGGGCTCAGTGAACTAACTGATTAGGTTCAAGCCCCAGTTTCCTCTGTTATTATTAACTCTGGGACTTTCTTGGAAAATTAATCAGATTTTTGTTTCTTGGGTCCTTCTTTTGTAGTTTATGGATAATGAAGAAAGTATTTTCCATAACAGTGTTTTAAGGATAAAAAAGGCAAATCATACTGTATATTTGTTATTGTATCCAGAATATATGGTAAATGTCCAGCAAATATAATTATTACAATATAGTTACAAACTGACAAGAGCTGGCATTTGAGCTGTCTAGAGAAATGAGTTGCATTGTTTTATCACATTCTACCCATACTACGGCCTGTTGATTACCAGTGAGATCTACATAGTCTTTTAGTTAATAACCTTCAACCATATTTGAACACTTTTCTTCTGTATGTATTTGCATTCCTATATTAAGTATGTACCTACATGCAAATACTGAATGCCATTTTTTAATTACTTCCTTTGGACATGTCTGTTAACAGTGTTAAAGTTAGAAACTGTGAATTCTTCTGACAAAAAAAATTTGAGCTGTGATATTTTATGATAAAAAATCTAGTCTTCTGCTAGGCATGGTGGTACATACCTGTAATCCCAGTACTCAAGTTTGAGGTCAGCCTGAGCTAGATAATGTGTTTAAGACTAGCCCGAATTATATAGGAAGTTCCTGTCTCAACTCCCATCCCCCTCCCCAGAATCCTTAGAGTCTTCTTATAAATGTGTGCATATGGTTAAAGTAGCATATAATATATTGTTTTTTAAGATATCTATACTTCCAGTGCTATTATTGATTTCCACTTTCCTGTTTCATTGTCAAATAGGTCTAGAAATTTTATTTCATGAAATTAATGCGAGGAAAAAGACTGGGCTGGTGTAGGTGACAATATATAAATATATGAAGCGTTAATTTATTAGAAATAATATTACATACAGATAGGAGGGATAATTTGGAATCAGAGCTGAGTTTATATCTTAGCTCTACCATTATAAGCCTTCACTTAACTTCTCTTGTTTCCTTAAGTGAAAACTGGGTGCTTAAAAAAGTAATGCATACTTACATGCTTGCCATATGAATGAGGCCTAGAAAACATTGAGAACTTGTCACTATTTTATTTATTCTTTTCACAGGAATGAAACTAACCAGTATTTGGGGTCTCCTGGTGTCATATACCTTGGTCAGCTTCCATGTCTTTGGAGCTTAGTCTGTTTTTTTAATTTGGTGGTGCTTGGGGGCATTCAACCCTGGGCCTGCTGCATGCTCATCAGATACCACAGAGCTATACCTCCAGCCCATGAATTTAATTCTTAATCCTTTATTGTCACATACTTCTCACTAACAAAGATGGACTGATTACCGATTTATTTCAATGTGTGTATTATATTTGATGGGTCACATTAGCAGTTGTAAAGCAAACAAAAGTGTGGAGGTGGGGAATGGATGGAATGAGTTCAATCAGATACCTGGGAAAAGTCAATAGTAAAGATAGAGCCTCAATTTTTGTAACACTGGAGAGGAAAACCTGAGCATAGGGTTTGAAGCAATGAATCATGAGTTAGAAGCATGGGACTTTTTCCTGGTGTCTTTATGCAGTTCTTTGTTCTTCTTTTTCTACTATTCATTCAGGATAGTAAAATGTAAACATTTCTAAAACCCACTTTAAGATGAGGGGGAAAAGGAGACATTAAAGTACAGAGCAGAACTATGAAAACCTGCTGAATACATTCCTTAATTGAAATGCATGTTGCTGTTTTTTACCATTATGAAATGCATGCTTTGTTTGTATTGTATTTGGGCGACCACAAGTCAACAGTAAGGTAAAACATGAGTAAACAACCTTGCTTTGAGATACTGAGGTGATAATCAGGCCCAAATTTTTACTTTTGTTTGAAATTTTCAATTCAAACTCAGTATACACTTAGTTGCTCCTGCACAATGGAGTTCAGGAATTAAAGGTCTGGCTCTTTAAAATCCAGCAGCCTGGCACACAATCTTGCTCCTGAAACTTGGAAGCAAGGCTATGCCTGGGAAAGCCTAAAGGCCCTGGAGAGTTGAGGACAGCTTGAGTCCGGTCAAAGAGAAAGCGCTAGGACTTTTTGGATTCTTTTCCCTATACTGGTCATTTTACTGCCCAAGACTAAGAAATCTATAGGAGGGCAGGTTAGTTTACACGCTGTCCACTTGTCACTGTCTCTAAGGCACACAAAAGCCTCTTAAAATAACACAAGCCAGCCTGAAGTACTTAAAATGAACAGATCTTGGGCGGGTAAGTGACAAAGCTCTCTCTCCTCTTTCCTCCTTGTGGGATTTTTTTTTTTTTTTTTAAAATAAGTATGTTTCCAAAGGTAACTGTGCCACACTCGAATCTCACCTAAGGCTGAAATTAACAAGCTTGTTCTTCCTTCTGACTCGAGAAGGAAACTTTGAGAACACCGGAGACACAGTCCCAGAAGTTTCTAGCTCTACAAAGCCGTGTTTTGATATAAAAGAAGCATATTTTCGTTTCCTTAAAAAAAAAATGCACCTTGTAAACGGAGCAAGAACCCAGTTAGGATTGCGGGGGGGGGGGGGGGAACCTAGAGGAGGAAGAGGAGGAGGAGGAAAAGGAGGAGGAGGAGGAGAAATGAGGAGGAGAAAGAGGAAGGCTGGGAAGCAACAGCTGGGTCCCGTGGACCCTGGCGCCGGCTGGTCCTGCCCTGGCCCAGGTTCCTTGGTCAGGGGTCACGGCCGGACCGGTCCTCACCTGAGGCTGCCTGCCAGGCCAGAGCGGAGGGACGCGCTGGGACTGAGACTGAGTTTGAGAGGAGCTGGGCTGGGAGGAAGGAGGAAGGAGTGACCGACAGGGTGAGGTGGGGGCTCGAGGGCGTGGGCAAAGTCGCTGGAGCAACTTTGGGGCTGGGCTAAGCAGTGCCTGACACCTAACCTGGGCAGCAGGAGGCGGAGAATGAGCTGGAGGAAAAGGGAGGTGTGTGGGATAGGGGTGGGTGGCGGGAGTTGGAAGCAAATGACATCACAGCAGGTCAGAGAAAAAGGGGTGAGCCTCAGGCGCTAGAGGAGTAGGGCGTTTGGCATCAGGAACAGAAGCCCAGCCTGCCTTCAGGGACCGGAGAGACCATGCAGAAGTCGCCTCTAGAAAAGGCCAGCGTCATCTCCAAACTTTTTTTCAGGTGAGAGGTGTCCAGTGGGTCTTTGGCAGGACACGTGCCAATAAAAGAGAAAGGAGGAATCTGGGCAGAGTTTGGGGGAAAAGAGAAATAGGTTTTTGTTCCGTTTTGTTTTTTAGAGATGCACTATCATTCATTGTTTTGAAAGAAAAAGTGGATTTGGTGAAATAAAATTGCCTTAATATTAGAAAAAAACAATAAACTGTAGCCAGTTTAGATAGCAAAGTCTGTGACTGAAAGTCAGACTCCCAAAACACAATTGATTTATTTGATTTTTCTCTGAGAAACTTAACATTGTAAAGTTAATAAATTCTTAAATCTGGTCCGCCCCCACCTTGCATAAATCAAAAACTTATCTTCTTGGGATACCTACTATAAATCTCATTGCAACATGTAATAGGTGCTCAGAAAACATTTATTGACTGAATTTTGAAAAAAAAATGTTCAGGAGAGGAGATGGAAATTGTGTTTAAAGTTTTTATTATGATACTGAGTAAATTTAACAAATATTCACCACAATTACATTCTTCTTCTTTTTAAGAAGGAAGACAAATCTAGTGAAATATTTAACTTAGAAAAGGGCAAATACTGTGAGTTATACATTTGAAATGGAAGTCAGCATTGTCCTGGAAATGTGAAGCTATGGATACAGGTACTGAAGTTATATCCAAATGACACTGGTACATTATAGTCTTACTTTGCATGTGATGATCTGTAAAAGCTAGCAAACTTCATCTAATGAGATTTTTTAAAATAGAGCTTAATTTGTAGTCTTAGGCACAGTGTGATTAAATACCATTCATCTTTGAAGTGTTCTTTGGATACTGTATCTGCTTTGTTCCTGCTATTGTATTTGTGTGAATGAATGAATAGGCACAGCTGTCTCATGGGACATTATTTGACTCACTGTCCTCCAATGAATCAACATACTAAAGTACCAAAACAGTCAAATGTATTATAAATATGCATATATGTGCGTGTGTTTGGGGAAGGGATTTTTGTCTTTCTCATCTCTCTAATGTTCATTCTGTGCATATAGAGCAAGCCTGGAATTCAGGTGCTCAACAAAGGTCTTGGCCATTGAAGAGGAGCTCCTTGCTCTGGACAGGAGAGGAGGACTTTACTATTTGGAATTACCTTTATGATATCATTTATAGAAACTTATTAATTAACCTATGAAATTGAACTATCTGTTCATCTGTTTTACTACTACTTATAAAATAAGAATGTTAATTGGCATAAATTATAGACTTTTTGTGAGAACATTTTGCAGAACCTAAATGCCAATCCATCTAAAAATACAGTTTTCAGGAGAATGAATATCTATGGTTACTTCTGAGTAATGAGGAAGTTCAAAATTGCTCTTCTGAGATGTTTTCAAATTTTCTTTTTAAAGATATTCTACTAATATCTATAATTCTTAAAATTTTAATAGCTATTAAGTTTTTAGGAGCATACTCATTTCTGTTCTTCAAACTACTTCATAATAAGTTGCTCTAAGAATAAAAGTGTTTTTAAAAGTTAAATTCCTACTATTTATAGGAACTGACAATCACCTAAAGTACCAGTGATTATAAACTTTCTTCTGGACTATAATTCTAAACTGGTAAAAACTTATTTTCTACATGGGGCTAAGTAATATTACTTAGTGGTCAAAGGTGGTAGGTTTTGGGCTTATAATGTTTTGACTCAAATTCCAGATCTACTACTTAATAAGCTGTGTAACTTGAGATGAGTCTCTTTCCATCTCTGTGCGACTTGACCTTTACAACTTTAAAAATCCATAATAAAGAGCTATAAAAGAATGAATAATATAAAATGGTTTCATCATAAAACTTCAAGTTTTTTAGGAATATTATGGAAATAAGTACAATAAATTAAAGCTCTGATGAAAACATTTATGAAAAAACTTCTTTTTAGTACTTGAGCTTGATCTGAGGTCCTTCATGTTGAACTACACTCTTGATCTCTTGAAATTTAATTTTAAAACAATGTTTCTGTAAATTGGTGAAGCTAGGCACAAACTTGTGATCCTCCTGCTCATCTCCTAGACTAATGAGATTATAAGCACTTGCCACCAAACCTGACTGAAATAAGGTATTTAAAACTAGAGGTGATAAACTTATGTGATTCATATACAAGTGAGATTGGTTTACAAATGTTTATAAACAGAGGTTATACTTTTTATTTTGGAAAATGTTTCAATTTTACATTTTCTCACAGCTTTTAATAAATTGTTTATTTTTCTGTCTTTTCCCTTATACCCTGAATTTCCCATTTTTTTAGTTGTTAGATGATATATTAAACCATGTGTTGGATAGTATAAATTGAATTTTTATCATGCTGTCCATTCCACAAGTCTTGATCTATATCCAAGAAACCAGGGGAGTTCCACAGTAACCAGATGTTGAGTGTCATACATCCCTTAAAAGTTTACGTACAGCGTTCCCATAAACTCTGCAGTCAAATCCCAAGTGAGTCAAGAGTAAAACATATTAGAACTTAGAGTGGATAATCACAAAAAATTGCATATTGCAAGTCTCAGGTTAATAATAAGATCATTTAAGACAGTTTTATAATTACCAGAAGCAAAATAATGAGAATATGTTACACATATACACTAAAATTTATATGATATTTTGAGCCACTAGAATAGGAGTGGTAGCTCAAAATATCTACCAGTGAAAACCACCCTTGTTTTCTAAGCATTTGCCTTTGATGAAAAAAATTTATACTAAGCACAGTGGCCCATACTTATAATACCAACTCCTTATAAGGCTGTGGCAGAAGGCTTGCAAGTTCAAGACCAGCCCATGTGACTTAGGGAGACCCTGTCTCAAAAGAGCCAGGGATGTAGTTCAGTTGTGAAGTGTTCTTGAGCTTGATCTCCAATATTGGACACAACCAAGCAAACAGAATTGGGTCTCTATTATGGTCTTATCTTTAAAGATATGTACATTTCTTTTTCTAGTATGTAGCAACCTAAATTCATTTGTACTCATGGTTAGAGCTTGTGTTAGAAAAGATCACATTACTTAGACAGATTACTTGGACTTCCTTCTAAATTACTTTTGACTATTTCTCAAAATAAAATTTTTCATCATAATTTAGTTTGTTAACAGCCAAGTACTACCTAAATTTAGCATTGTCCTTCAAAAAATGCCTTATGAAATTTAAAGATTTTTATTGAGGAAAAATGTAAGTATTTGAGCAATTGAAACATAATTATATAAGAAGATAATGAAGGATTCATAATTTTGAAGAGGACCAGTCTTACAATTTATATAAATTGAGGCATATCATTTAAAAAATCAATCACGATTTTTCGTATAGTGACATTTTATTTACATATTTAGCCTGAGCAAAGCTAAAAATTATGACTGAGTCATAAATATTACTGAAATTTATTGAGGATGTTCATAAAAATATTGCCACAGGAGATAAGCCTACTTAACAAATGTCTTAGTCTGGTTCCAATCTGTATACATGCATTGTGTCAGGTTTGTCTCTCAGGCAAAGCTTGGGCTATCCAAATGAGAAAAATTGATGCATAAAACAAAGACCACTATGAGATCAAGACTTCATATTGTGATACACAACAGACATCCAGTTAGTCAATCTATAGCACATGCCATCAGTGAAAATAGCTCTGATCTCTTTGATTTCTCTCAGCTTTATCTCCTGTACAAACAGAAAGCACCCACATCTGAGATAGGGGCCCCTCTAATTTGAAAAGCACCAGCAAGTGTTCGCTGTACTAGTCTCTCAGTATTCCTTTTTCTCAAGCTTTCTGTTGCTGACCATGTTTTGATTTTGCTCAGCTCAGATTTTGGAATTTGGAGTATGTGTTATGTCAGTTTGCTTGTTTTAACTCACAGTTCTGAAGGTACCTTCTCTAGATGGTATGACTAAAATTTATCTTACCTATTTATCTGTTTTTCTGTATGTGTAATATTTTATAATTAATTTTTTTAGCTAATTTTTTGTTTTAAAAATTCCCCTTGAGTTTTGAAGTGTATTCCAATGAGTTTTCTTACATGCATGTAACGCATAGTATATAGGATAGTTTTAATAATCAGCTCCTTCCTGAAGAGAGCAGTGGAGTCTATTTTTCCTAATAGCTTCATCAATATTTTATGTTTGATGTGGCAATCGAAATATTCCTCAAAGCATACTGATACATAAGGGAAATCATGGCTTCCCATGTTGTGCTTTATGGGAGGAAGTAGGATTTAGTGTCATAATATTCAATACACAAATGTTGAAACTTGTTTGAGATCCTTGAATGAACACTGCTATAAAATATATTATTATTGTAGTATCCTTTCATAAGAACCTATAATTTCACTATGCTAGAGCTATAATATAAGTATAAGATTGCCAAACCATCAGGGAAGGGTGTTAACCATTTATCATGCAGTTATGTGTTGTTTGTCAAAACTTTGAAAACACCTCTGACTCAGCAGCAATTTGGGCCATTTTGATTCCTGACGCATCTTGTGTAGGGCATTTGCTTGGAGCAAAATCCCAGAGATGCAATGAGGTCAAGAGGGGAAAACAGATCATGACAGAGGTCTGATAGTCTGGTGACACGAGCAGAGGGTTGGTTTTTAAGTATGTTGATTACATTGTCACAGATCAAAACATTACTATTTCAGCTGCTTCTCTTCAGCTTCTAAGAGTGAATGTACCCTGTAGTTGTTTTGGTTTACAGTCAGCATTGCAAGATGGTTTTACATAGAGCTCAGCAAAGAGCTTGAGCAAGAAGCCTGTAAAAATTTAATTTACTATTATGTTGCTTGGTGTAGACAATTGCATTGCTATAGAAGTCTGGAAAGATCTGGTTTCCAAGGCTGTTTCCAAGTTGCACAGCTTGTCAACTTTGCTACTTCTTATGCAGCTCTAGTTAACTTGCTATTAATTTTTGACTCTTTCATTTAAAACTCTAGATGCTAAGGCCTTCTCTAAATTTTAAAAATATTATTCAGGGGGCTGGAGGTTTA